ATGCCAAAACTTGTTCGTGAAATTTCGCAAGTGTACAGCTCGTGATAAGTAATAAAATGGATTAATTAAGTTCAAATATCGTTCCACATAGACTACTATTTACTATAAATTTTAAACTAAACTAACATAACTTTAATTTAAATTAAAATAGTAACTAATAATCAAATCAAGTTTTATTTTCTAAACGAAATTCTTCTAAATCAAATAACACAATATTAAATAAAATAATAAACTAAATTTAAAACTTTAGATAAGGTTATGTAATTGGATAGTTAGGATTTTCGATTTCACTTATTTTATTTATCATACATTTAATTCCAATTTATTCAACAATTTTTCATACGTGCCAACGATCGAATTAACAAATTGTATTTTGTGATCTCTATCCAGTAACGCTAATCATATTTATATGTCTGAACTTTGTTTTCTTTGTTTGCGTGCATATTTATTGAGGGTGTGTTTGAATCTAATTTTGAGGAGAATAGAAATTTTGGAATAGTGATTGATGTGAGAATGTGTGGTAGAAAAGTGATGAAAAGTTTTTGATTTGTGTATAATAGTATTTTATTTGAAGAATGTGTGGTTGAAATGANAGAATAGAAATTTTAGAATAGTGATTGATGTGAGAATGTGTGGTGAAAAAGTGATGAAAAGTTTTTGATTTGTGTGTAATATTATTTTATTTGGAGAATGTGTGGTTGAAATGAAGAATGAGAATGAGAATGGAAATGAGAATGAGAAATTAATGGGTGCCAAACGGGAGCTGAATCTCCAGTAGCCGCTGACTTCGTTTTCTTCTTCTGCCTTTTATTCTGTTTTCTTCATGCTGCCCAAAACTGCCGACGCGTGTATGTAAATATAATAATCTCCACTGAGACAGCTACCAATTTCCTCAATTTCCAGCCGCAATTCTTGACTTATTCCTCTTTTTTTTTACCTTTCCTTTTCTCCCGTGTGTTGTGTGTATATATAATATATATCAAATTCAACCCCTGTTTTTGTGTTCAATCTACCGGCTTCTTCTGCTCAAGCTGCCTTTTTTTTCCTTTTTCTTCTACGTGAATCTGTCGTCTCCTCCTCTCTTTGTATTCAATTAGAAGTCCAAATTAAGGTCCAATTAGTTGCTTGTTTCCAAGTCCAACGTACTTTGAATTTTTTCCAATTTTCCTCTATTTTGCATTCTTTTATTAAATTCTTCATCAAACATAATGTTTTACCTACAAAATACAATTTAACATAAATTAGGTAGAATTTAATTCAAAAAATAATAAAATATCATGATTTAGCATCACGAATAAGTATAAAAACTACACTTATCATCGCTCTCTCTTCTGATGAGTATCAACTCACAAGAAATAGAGAAATAAGGCAAATCAGACTTCCTACTAGATTTGACAGTGATGATTTGTTTCATTTTTCACTTATCAAGAACAATTTGAAAATAAGCAAAACTCCTATGATCATGCCATTAAGTGCATGGAAAGTAAAAATTGGAAAGCTGTCATGGAAGATGATATGTCTTCACTTTTGAAAAACAAGACTTGGGAATTTGTTAAAAGGCCTAAAGGGTAGAAACTGATTGATTGCAAGTGGATTTATAAAGTAAAACAAGGGAAAGGAGATAGTAAAAACATTATATATAAAGCTAGACTTGTTGCAAAATGCTTTACTCAAAAAGAACATGCTGATTACACTGAAATCTTTTATCATGTTGTGAAATATACTATGTTAGATGTTTGTTTGCTTTAGTTGCTTAGTTTAAATGGGAACTTGATTAGTTGGATGTTAGAACTGCTTTCTTGTATGGTGATTTAGATGAAGTAATTTACATGAAGCAACATGTTGGTTTTGAAATTAAAAATCTTGAAAATATTGTTTGTCTGATAAAAAGATCTTTATGTGGTTTAAAGTAAACTCCAAGACAATAATATAAGAGATTTGATACATTTGTCCTAAAACTTGGTTTTAAAAGAAACTAGTTTGATACCTGTTTATATTTTAAAGGCGATGAAGGTGAAAATTCTCTTTATTTAGTTCTCTATGTGGATGATATGTTACTTGCTAGCTGTGATAAGTTTGAAACTGATGATATCAAATTGAAACTGAAG